GAGTAGTGTGTGTGTGTGTGTGTGTGTGTGTGTGTGTGTGTGTGTGTGTGTGTGTGTGTGTGTGTGTGTGTGTGTGTTTTCTTTTACACATGTGGAGCCTGAACGCTTGATTCAGACTTTCTCCCTTTTTTCCATTTCCTGTAGGTTTGTCGCTCTGTTTTCTGGTGATTAGCCAATACCAGCTGTTCTGGTGATGAAGATGTCTCAAATCAATTCTATCCTGTCTGGCTTTCCAGGAAGAGGGTCCCCCCGCATCTCAGATTGAAATTTATCAGAGTCACTGCAGGCAGGAAATTTGCTCCTTTACAAACTCGCACTCTCCCGCTTATTTTTATTGTTTTAACATTTTCCAGAAAAACAAGTCAGAAAACAAACCTACTTCCTCTTTAGAATGTGCTGTTATTAACCTCTGAAATGCTGATTCTACCGGTTGGTCATTTTTATCGTAGATCACTTTAAAGTAACGGCAGGATCACAAATTTAAAAATCACAGTCAATGCTGAATCAGCATAAAGAACAAAACACTAAGAGCAACATTTTCAATCCTCAGTGCCTACAAAGAAGCTCTTGAATACTACCTCTAGGCTTCAATGATCTCCAGAAGGAAGGACAACAGGATTTGGGTCTTTAGCACCAAAAAAAGTACCTTTATTTTCAAAGGTGCTGAGCACCTGCAGCTCCCATAGACTCGAGGGGGTGCTCAGCGCTCATGCCTAAAAAGTGAGCTCTTTATAAGGGAGTTCAGATGAGGAAAAGTTTTTTTTTACTCAACTGTAAATTTGGGTGTGTTAGTGCTTTCCACATTTTTTTCAAAGATCAATATTAATGGAGGGTTTTTTGAGACATACAAGCTGAAGATACTCTCTTGATTAATTTCAGACATTTTTTGGTGTCCTTCTTTGCCTTTGCCAGAATGAAATTTGGCAAATACATATTTCCTGCTGCAGGAAAACAATGTGTCTTTTCATAGCTGGGAATCAAGTCTTGGCAATTAAATTAGGACCAATGTCCATTGATCTCAGTGGAAAACCCTATTATATGGGAGAGCTCTTAGACCACATCCTGCCATCATTCTGCACCGAGAACCCCCTCTGAGGTCAGCAGGAGTTTTATGCAAAAATATATAGCAGGATGTGGTCCACTTAAGGACACTCTAAAGGTTGAAGCTCTAAACTGCAACTTTCCTTCTTCATTCTGTTGCTATTGGTCCTCTAAAATCAGGTCTTCAGATGAAACAAAATCCCAGCTTTTCAGTTGGGTGACCAAGCACAACTAACACAGGCATTAGGGTCATCTGTAAGTATGGACACAAGTATGAGGCAAGCTTGTGACTTTGCCCAATGTCCCCACTTTGCTTTCTCCATCCTAGTAAGCATGGGATTGGCTGCATCCCTTTAACTTCTGAGGAGAATAGCAACAAGGAAAGAATTTCTGCCTTAGATTGACCATGACTTTGGCAGGTGAAAAGTGTTGCTAATTATTAGTTCAAGGGCATAGCTGGATGAGTGGCTCAGCCTTCATGACCAAATGCCTTTCACCTGTGACTAGCACAAATGATTTCCTGGGTCACAAATCAGCTTCTAGCTTGAGGGGTGATTGGAAGATCAAGTATCAAATCTGTAAAATCTCTAAACGTCTTAGAACCCCTGATTCAAAGAGCAAGAGAGAAAAGAAAAACAACTTCCCTTCAGTTTACAGTGTATATGCCTTTCAACAGAGATCTTAAAGATTGAAGTGTTAGGGGGTGGCAGTAGCGTGGGCTGCTAGCTAGAATTCTTGACTGGGAGTTGGATAGAAGAGGTTTTACACACAGGTCTGTCACTGAGTCACTACTTGATTTTGGGTAAGTCAGATAACTTCTGTTTCCCTATTGGCATAAAAAGGACAATGATTCTCAGCTGCCTTTGTAAAGCCCTTGGTGATCTGTGAATTAGTGCCCTACACATACTTAGTAAAGGGCCTGTTGCATTTTTGTTGAATGTAAAAAAAGGGGTTTGCACTGGAGTCTTGGCAAAAGTGTTTTCCTACTCCTGCTTGGCTGCTGCCTTCTGCCCCAGAGGCAGTGTTAAAATGGTGTATGCTGAATCGTTATTCTATGCCAGTACTTACTGTTGTTCATGAATGGTCTACAGAAGTGAGTATTTTAGTAGAAGTAAATTTGTCTGGATGCTTATAAGAGCTAGCCTTAAGTTCCATGAACCCAATGCTGTAGAAACTACCTGATAAAACAGTCACCTGATTGTCAAGCTGTCTGGAGTGATTTATGAACATGGGTGCCAATCTCAGGGCAGATTGTTACAAACCCCAAACTGTCTGTGTGGTCTATAAATAAACTTCACCAACTAAATATCAAGGGTGAACATCTCAAAGAGTATAACAGCCTTGGAGTCAGATAGTCCCCTTGTGCACCCTGGTCAATCTTGCCATGCAGGCTGGCCTGCCTTTGTGATAGATGGTCCCTTACACCAAAAGTCACAACAATATTCAGGTTACTCCCAGTCCCACAGGACCAATCACTTACCAGTCAATTGTACCTTAGATGTCTCACCAAAGACAACACTTGTAGCTAATCCTGTCTTAAGCTAAGTAAATGTTTATTAACTAGGGGAAAGAAATTAGTGTTTTTTGTTTTTTTTAACAAGGTAAAAGCAGGTAAACATACATGCACAAATGAATTACTTTTTGAAACCTAAGACTGTAATAGAAGCTACTGTAATATGTAAGCTCTCTATATCTTTTAGGGCTGACCTAAGCTAAGCAGCTTGGGGATCCCTTGCTTATGCTTAGAAATATTGCCATCTCCAAATTCCAAGCAGCATAGTCATACAGATTTGTCTGATCAGGGATTTTCATTCTCTTCCCCCTAGAGTTCAAACTATGATGGGATGAGGGTTTAAGCACATCCCCTCTTCACGCGTGTTTGCAGGGGGGATACAAATGATATAAGTGAGATTAATGCATAAAGCATTCATAAAGTCCAAACACTAAACACCTGTCTATAATGCTAATACCTAAATACTAACACACAGGTGAGCCAGACTGACTAATGCATAGCTGGAAACTAGTGTTTGGTGAGGCCTTAGGAGCTGCCACCTCGTCTGCCCATGTCACAGGGGTAACTTCAGAATTAATGGTAGGAGACCAATTAGACTGGCTTCCAGAGTCTTGGCGAACTGTGTTTGGTTTGGTTTGAGGGTATTACCTTGTGCTTCCAAAGCTAAAGTTTCCCTGAAAAAGTCTAGTTCTCTTAATTACAAAAATAACCTTCAAATTGTGAAGCAAGCCTAGCTGATGAAGTGATGTCTGCCTGGGTCTGGTGTGTGACATGCCCCATTCCTATCAATGATGTGTTAACTGTGAACCCAAACATCAACATGAATTACTTCAATGCTGATCAAAGCATGTAAGAAAAGAAGGGAGATAAGGATGCATAAGCCACTTCACCATAACAAACCTGCAAGGCCTGTTCAAGCAAATGCTTGCTGAGTCTTGAGCCTTGCAGACATGGTGCGGGTCATTTTCCTGTAGCTCTGCTATGTGAACTACTCTTTCCTCTTGCTTCTAATGTTGGAAGGGATGTGTGTGGCTGTGGGCACTAGGTGGAATAACTAACGACCAAAATGGGGGAATTAAAGGTGAACGTTTCCTCTTAAACAGGAAGCATGTGACCTTGCCCTCCTACCCCAGCCAAAGGAGGAGACCTGTAGAGTTTTCAATGATCATGAAGCTTTTATTCAGTGCCACAAGGAAACTGGAGCGTGCAAAGCAAGAAAGCTAATGAAGAGGGAGGAGAGCTTTGTGGTTAATGCACTGGACTGTGATTCAGAGCTCTGAGTTTGGTTCCTGGCTATGGCATAGACTTTCTGTTTAATCTTGGGCAAATCACTTAATCTCTCTCTGCCTCAGTTCCCTATCCATAAGGGTTTGTCTGCATGAGAAAATTGCACTGTTTTAACGTAAAGTGTGATGTTAACCAGTGCAAATCTCTGTGTTCAAACCATGCTTATTTCAATTTCACTTAAGTCAATTAGGAATTGGTTTACGTTCAACTGAAATAACCCACTTTTCACTCAAAGACAGTGTGTCTGCACAAGGATCTGCACTGGTTTAACTAAAACACGGTTTTAATTAAACTAGTGCAACTTTCCCATGAAGACGAGAGAGTGTTACTCTTAGCCAGATCTTTTACTATATGCATGTACAGCACCTAGCACAATGATCTCAGTAGGGCCTCTACGCAGTGCAGGAGTGCTACTGCGGATAATAACTATAACAGGTGGGGCCCTCATGCTCTCAATCCCCTGGGGTTGCAAGTTTGGCAGCACAGTCTGAAGGGGCCCTGTGTGCACATGTACTTCCTGGAAGAAAATGCACTTCAGACCGACACAGATGTCCCTTCCAAGCTTTCATTGGGTTGCACTAGAGAAACCCTGAACAAAATGCGGTGAGAAATACCTTGACGCTGGCCTCTTTAACAGTGGGGACTAAAACAAATAGAAGCCTGAATAATTTATGAGCTTCGTTGCCATCCTTGAGTTACATTCCCTTTGAATGAAAAATGTGCAAGTTTGGCCTGCCCCACGAAGCCCCATCACTGAGATGAAAGGGAATCTTTTAACGGCTTCCTGCTATTGTCTTCGCTTACTATCTGCTTTGCCACGAATGTTCTCGGTGGTAGGAATTCTTTAACACTATGTACTTGTTTTGATTCCCAGGAACAATAAAAAAGAATACTGTTTGGAAAGGACATATGGAAATCTTCAGGGCTGAAAAATAGCTCTAAAGGGTAGTAGCGGGATAGTCACTACTGGCAATACAAATATTTGGTTTAGATATAAAAGAAACTTGTACTAAACATACTGATATTCTGTCTGGGTAGAAATGCATAGACTTAATGCCTGATCTGGTCAGACAGCAGTAGGATAAAGAAAAGCTTTATCACAGTCTTTGTAACGTTCTCTCCACCATAGACACTAAGTGATCTTTAATATAAGTCAAATACTCCAAATGAGGAAAGAAAGAGAAATTAGTCAGAACAGGAAGCTTCAAATACTGTGAGACTAATTGAGTTTGGATAATTAAGGGGTTTTAGAGAAGTAATTCAGAGGAGAATGGGAAGGGAGGACAACTTAATTGAGATTGCCTGTCGGTCTGTGATTTCTCTATGCAGCCTTCTGTGGCATGTCTTGGTTGCCCTTCATCCTGACCTAATGGAGTTGATGTCATTTTTATGAACTTTATTAATTAGCACATTGCAGACTTGCATTTACGTTTTAAAGATGTTTCTACACTATAAAAAGCACAGAGCTGATCTTGTGTGTCTTCACTTAGTGAAGAAAACAGTACCCCATAATGCATCCCAACTCAGAGACCCGGCTGGTAGCACTTGTAGGGTTCAGGCCAGGGGCTGGGAGATGAGGAGCAATTGCTAGATGCTGTTCCCTGCTTCACTAGGGGTTGTGAATTATGCAGAGATATGTCTAGTAGCCAAATCCTGATCTCTGTTGCATAAGGTAACCCAAGAGCAGAATCGAACCTCCTTTGAGGGGGGAAAAATTGTGGCAGCAGGGTGCTACCGACTGGACTGTTGAGGGGAGATAGCAGGCCAGTTCCGTAGTTTACAGTGGAAGTGGATCCTTTACAGTTTGGCACTGATTATAAATAGTTAGGAGGCGCAGCTTAGGAAGGGTGTTATACATGTTGGGCCCCATGACTCCGAAACAAAAGAAATAAACAAGCAAGCCATGTTTTAGGAATGTGCTGGTGTCTCAATGATGCTTGCACTTATTGTTGGTAGCCACGCCAGCTCAGGGGGTGATCTCTGCAGATCTCAGAAGGAAACCAGGGCTGGGCCTGGCCACTAGTCAAAGGGAGGCTGCTAAACCCAACCCAGGGTGCAGCAGGAGGTGGTGCTAGGGATTCAGTAGGTAGCCCTCTTCCCTCGAAGTCTGTACTGGTCAAATGCAGAAGCGTGTTAGTGCTGCCGTGCTAGAGGGGCCCTCTTTTAGTTCTATCTAAAACAGGGCCTTGCCATGAGTGGTCACAGATTCATACATTTTAAGGCCAGAAGGAATCATTATGATCATCTGTTCATTAGATCATTAAAGAGATCCTGGCACTTTTGGCAAGAATGAGGATATTCGCCCCAGAGCACTGCTAGATTACAATGTGGGTATTAAAGTCATCTTGCATATTTGTAGTGTTAACTGGATATGATACTCTTCCCTTCCCTCCCTACACTTTTGCATAATGTTACTGTAGGTTATTCATCAGCTACTAAGTTCCACCCCAGAGGTGGCTGCACTTCGGTGGCTGGTGAAGTGATTCTGGTGCGTGTGTGTATACACCTCTACCCCGATATAACGCGACCCGATATAACACGAATTCGGATATAACGTGGTAAAGCAGCGGTCCGGGGGGGCGGGGCTGCGTGCTCCGGTGGATCAAAGCAAGTTCGATATAACGTGGTTTCACCTATAACGCGGTAAGATTTTTTTTTTTTGGCTCCTGAGGACAGTGTTATATCGAGGCAGAGGTGTATATAGTTTGTATCACGTACAGTAAATATAAATGATCATAGATACTGTTTTGAAATAATGTATTTAAGTAGTAAACATAATACAAGTAACTTAGTATGCAAATATATAATGAAATATAACTAGTTTGCAGCACTTAATAAGTATGGAGCATCAGTCACCATGAAACAAAAAGCATTGTAATTCTGGCCATACCTGGTATAAATGAAAAGTGCTTATAGATTAAAAACTTTATTTTCAAGATCATAGGATTTCCTTTAGAATGCATTTTGAATGGAAGTTTTGCCTTCAAAATGACTGCATACTTCCACTTAGCACTCAGGTGTGTTCCGATCAAACGAGCAGTTTCAGTAAACATTGGTAATGGAAATGTAAACACCAGAAGGTTTCAGAAAATATGTATTACAAAACTTTTATATAGTGCCATATATTTCCTTGGAGCTTTACCTGTTCCCAAGACTTTCTAGTCTGAGGCCATGTTCCAAAGCTGAATGAAGTCAATCAGCAGAAACTCGTTGACCTCAATCAGTTTTGAATCCGACCTTGACGTAATTTACAGGGATGCCAATGTGGAGCAAGTCTGCTGAGACACCCATGAGGATGTGAGGACTCACTATCTAAAGCAAACTCCTCTTCTTTCTTCTCATTGCTTAGTGAGTCATATGACCATACCACCCTGAACAGTCTTAATCATATCTGATCTG